TTCTATTTTGTAATGTCTTTGTCTGGGTTTGGTATTAGGATAATGATAGCCTCATAGGAATTAGGAAATATTTCCTCTGTTTCTATCTTCTATAACAGATTGTAGAAAATTGATATAATTTGTTCCTTGAATGTTTGATAGAAATCACTAGTAAAACAATCTAGGCCTCATGCTTTCTTGGAAGGTTATTAATTGTTGAATCCATTTGATTAATAAATAGAGATTTATTCAAATGATCTAAATTTTCCTTGTGTGAGTTTTGGTAGATTTCTTTCAAGGAATTGGTATACTTCATCTAAGTATTCAAATATGCAAGAATAGAAGTGTTGAAAAGAAGAGAAATTTTATTCCTCTTAGGATGTTTGTGTCCATGAGATCAGTAGTGAGAATGTCATCTTCATTTCTGAGTAATTTGTGTCTTCTCCTTTTTTCTTGATTAAATTACCTACAAGTTTAACAATTTTACTGATCTTTTTAAAAAAATTCGCTTTTTCATTCATTGATTTCCCCCTCTTTTGTTTTTATATTTTCAACTTCATTGATATCTGTAATTTTTATTTTAATTTCTTCTGCTTACTTTAGGCTTACTGTTCGTTTTTTATGATGGGGAAGTTTAAATTATTGACTTCAGATTTTTCTTTTCTAATATATACATTCAGTGCCTTAAATTTCCCTTTTACTCTTGCCACATTGCTTTTACTCTGTGCCACAAATGTTATTTCTGTTTGATCTTTAAATATTTGGGTATTTTCCTATTATCTTTTAGTGATTAATGTCTGGTTTAATTTCATTGTGGTCTGATAACATATAGAGTTATGGCCTAGAATGGTGGTGTATTTTGATGACTATTCCATGTGAGCTTGAGAAAAATGTATATTCTACTATTGTTGAAAAAAGTGTTTCTTAAAATGTCAGTGAAGTCCAAATAATTGCCAGACACCATGGTACATGCCAGCTACTTGGGAAGCTGAGTCAAGAGAATTACAAGTTCATGGCCAGCATGAAAACTGTGTCAAAGTGAAAAAAGAGTGGTAAAGCGCCCCCAGGTTCAACTCCCTAGTATGTGTACACACACACACACATATGACGATATTGTTCAAATAATTATTTCCATATTGATTTTCTATCTACTAGATCTGTTTCTCTTATAGGGATGTTAAAATCTCTACTATAATTCATATATTTCTCCTTGTAGTCTATTAGTTTGGGCCCATATATTTTGATATTCTGTTGTTAGACACACACGAATTAAGGATTATTAGGTCTCCTTGGATAACTGACCCTTTTATCATTGTGTAATGCTTCTCTTTATCCCTGCTAGCTTTTCTTGCTCTGGTGCCTACTTGGTCTGAAATTAATATAGCTTTTTTAGATTAATGTTAGATTAGCATATCTTTATCTCTTGTTTTTGTTTTTAAATAGACTATTTTTAGGGCAGTTTTAGTTTCAGAGTAAAATTGAGTAGAAATTAGAGTTCCCATGTGACCCTGTCCCCATAAATACAAAGCCTCCCTCCATTGTCAAAATCTGATGTGGAACACATTATTATCACTGAGTTTACAGTTTACATTAGGGTTCAGTTTTGGTGGTGTTCATTTTATGGGTTTTCAATCCACCCTTAGAGTACTTCACAGAATAGTTTTGCTGGGGCTGGGGTTATAGCTCAGTGGTAGAGCACTTGCCTCTCAGGTGTGAGGCCCTGGGTTCGATCCTCAGCACCACATAAAAATAAATAAACAAAATAAATATATTGTGTCCAACTATAACTAAAAAACTTTAAAAAAAAAAAAAGGAATAGTTTTACTGCCCTAAAAATTCTGTCCTCCAACTAATCCCTCCCTCCCCCTTAACTCCTAGCAACCACAGATTCTTTTTACTGTCTGCATAGTTTTGCCTCTTCCAGAATGTCATACAGTTGGAATTCCTTTACTTTTTTGTGTGTGCGCTTTAGATTGTACCCAAGTTCTTGGCCATGCTAAGCATGTCCTCTCCCACTGAGCTGTATGCCCTATCTCTATCATGTGTGAGGCACTGGGTTCGATCCCTTGCACCACATAAAACTATACAAATGAAATAAAGGTATTGTGTCCATCTACAACTAAGAAAAAATATTTTTAAAAAATGTTTAGGGACTAGAGTTGTGACTCAGTAGTAAGAGCACTTGCCTAGCATGTGTGAGACCCTGGGTTCAATTCTCAGCATCGCATATAAACAAATGAATAAAATAAAGGTCCATCAACATCTTAAAAAAATTTTTTAAATGTTTAATATAAACCCATCTTTTAGAAACATTTTTTTCATTCGTTTTGTCTGTAATTGGTGTATTTAGAGCATTCACATTTGAAGTGTTTATTGATATAGTTGGATTAGTGTCTACCATGTGTGTAACTGTTTCTGTTCATTGGATTTGTCCTTTATTTTTTATCTTCCTCTCCATTTCTAATTGAGTATTTTATATAATTCCATTTTCTCTCCTCTCAGCATTATTATACTTCTTTTTAAAACTTTCTTGCAGTTGTTCTGGTGTTTGCAGTGAATATTTGCAATCAATCTAGACTATTGTCATGGATAGTACAGGCATCTTAATACAAAATATTCCAAATTTCTCCTTCTGTGCCTTATAACATTATTACCACTTCATTTATTTATAAATTTTAATCATCTAATACATTGTTGCCATTATTAGTTTGAATAAAAAGTTGTCTCTTAGATCAATTGAGAAGAGTAAAATATTTTCTTTTATGTCCATTTATTCCTTCTCTAACAGTTTTCCTTTCCTCATACAGATATGAGTTTCTGAGATACATCATTTTCCTTCTCTTTAAAGAACTAACATTTTTTGCAAGGCAGGTCTGCTAACAAATTCCTTCAGGTATTTGTTTTTGTCTGAGAAAGTCTATATCTTCTTCATTTTTGAAGCTTGATTTCACTGGATACAGATTTCTAGGTTGGTGCATTTGTTTGTTTGTCTTAGACAGGATCTTACTTTATTTCCCAGGCTAGTCCCAACTTCTGAGCTTAAGTGATCCATCTACCTTAGCCTCTGAGTAGCTGGGGCTACAGGTGTTCATCACTGCATGTGGCTTAGTGGGTTTCTCTTGAATGGAAAATATAACGTAGTTTATCCTTTTGTCTTATAAAGAGGGTTTTTTTTCCTCCTGTCTTCTAAATTTTCTGTGGTTTTCTATAGTTTGAGTATGTTATGCCTAGGTATAGATATTTGGTATTTATCTTGTAAGTGTTCTCTGAGCTTTATGTATCAGTGCTTTGGTATCTTTAATTGATTTGGAGAAGCTCTTTGCTATTCTTGTTCTTCATATTCTCAGCTTTTATTATTATCATTATTATTATTAAATTCTGAGACTTCCCATCTCTTCAACGTTTTCCATTGGAGCCCTTAGCTTATTTATCAGTTATTTAAAATCTTGGTATGATAATTCCAAAATTTCTGCTGTACCTAACTCTGATGTCTGCTTTGTCTCTACACTTTGTATGTTTTTGTTTCTTGTGTCTCAGCATTGTGTATATTTTTGTTTCTTATTTTGTTTTTTACTTTTGCTTTTGGGGTTTTTTTTGGTTGTGGTTTTGGTTTTTTGTTTATTTCATTTTGCCTTTTTTCATACCTTGTAAAGCTAGGCATGTTGTATTGGATAAGTGGAAATGAGGTATACAGGCATTCATGAGGTTTTGTTTATCTGGCTAGGAGTTAGGCTGTTTTCTTTCTTATAACTGTAGGTCAGAAGCTTCAGTTTCTTCCAGTGACCTTGCTTTGTCTGTAGTCTTTAGGTTTCCCTAGAAACTCTTTAAATACAATCTATGAACTGGGTGTCACCACACCCAAATTACACATGCATGTAATCCCAGCCACTCACGGGATTGAGCAGGAAGATTGCCAATTCCCAGCCTGGCAAGACCCTATCTTAAGATAAAAAGTAAAAAGTGTTGGGGATTAGTGGTACCCCACCACTGAGTTCAATCCCCTGTATCACATTTTTTTAAAAAAAGTGGGGGAGGGTTGGTGTCAGTGTCTTGCAGCTCTCTCAGTTGTAATTTACTGTTATTATACTGAAGCCTTGCTGATGTGATGATGAGGTATTAGGAAGTAGAAACATTCTATAATCTCATGCTTAACTTTCCCTTTTACGTTGTTGTTGGATCAGAATCCCTGGGCTCTAGTATGAATCCCTGGGCCTAACTATATTCTTTCAAAAGAGTTTCTTAGCCTAGAGTGGTGGAAGAGGGCAGAAGCTAGAAGGGGCTTGGATTGGTTAATTGCCTGCCCTTCTTCCAGGTGAGATAAAAAGCTCTGGCAAGGTAGTTTCACTGGAGGGCAGAATTGGCTATAGATTATGGTCTGGTCATGTTTCAAAATGTCTACCTACCTTCCCCAAACCCTAAAAGAACACAGGGAATTATTTTCTTCATTCTGAATCTTCACACTGACAATCTGGAAGGGTACTTGAAAGTAAAAATAAGGAACACTTGGATATCCTCTTAACCAGGAGTTTCAACTCTCAATCTTATCCACGCTCAGCCTCCAGCAACATGACTGTTAACTTTGAAAGTATGTCTGCCAGTACCCACTTTGGCTTCTAATCTAGGTCAGCTGCGTTTTTTTTTTTTGTTTTGTTTTGTTTTGTTTAAATAGGATTTTTTTTTTTTTTAAAGAGAGAGAGAATTTTTTAATATTTATTTTTTAGTTCTCGGTGGTCACAACATCTTTGTTTGTATGTGGTGCTTAGGATCGAACCCGGGCTGCATGCATGCCAGGCGAGTGCGCTACCACTTGAGCCGCATCCCCATCCCCAGCTGCGTTTTTTGTCTTTATTCATCTTCAGTTTTCAGGGTGTCAGTTTTTCTTTTGACCTCCATTCTCTGATGGATCTAAAAAGAGTAATAACTTTTCAATTTTTCAATCAATATTTGGGGATTAAAATGGATTTTTAAACATTACGAAATTAATAGTTGTGTGGAGAAAGTCATGGTGTCTGTTTGTGCAGGTTGAAAGAACAGAATCTTGTGAAAGAGCTGAGGCCCCGGGATCTCCTAGAGAGCAGCAGTGACAGTGATGAAAAGGTCCCCTTGGCTAAGCCATCCTCATTATCCAAGCGAAAACTTGAGCTTGAGGTAGAGACAGTGGAAAAGAAGAAAAAGGGGCGTCCTCGGAAGGACTCCCGTCTCCTGCCCATGTCTCTGTCTGTCCAGGTGAGGCCTGAGATTCATCCTGCCTGCTCCCATTCACCTTCCTGGACTCTGCACTGGGAGGCCCTTCTTGCCATGGTGCACCTTGTCAGTATGGGATGCTTTGGGAACCATTTGGCTTAGATATAGACATCAGGGATTGTATCATGGAGTGCGGGAGGCCACACTTCCTCACCCCCCTTTCAGTCCAGCCAGAACCCTTTAGCAAGTTCCCTGGTGTCAGCTCCCTTATCTGTGAGGTGAGAATACTTGTAGCATTCTCTTTTGCTTTCTCCCTCACAGTAAGTACAAATACCCAGCCTCACTTTTGGGTGACTTACTTTTACCTAATGCTTCCCCTATAGTGTTGGGGTGGGGCTCAAGGATGTTTCTGCTCTTCTAGTCTCCAGCCACCCTTACTGCAGAGAAGGAGGCCATGTGTCTGACTGCACCAGCACTTGCACTGAAGCTGCCAATACCAGGCCCCCAGAGAGCATTCACCCTCCAGGTAAGTGCCGGGACACTCCTATGACTCCCTTGAAGGCATGTACATACATTTCTCTTCCCAGTATAAACTCTGTCTTTTCAGTGCCTTGGGGACTGGTTTGCAGTGGCTCTCCATTCTCTTCTGGAGGCAGTCATAGTTAATCAGAGTACTTACCAAATCTTGGCAAGAATGTTAATAGCTTCTTCTCCTTCCCACCCTTAGGCCTCTTTCTCCGTGGTTTACCTTTGAAGTCCCAAATGCTCAGTTGCCCTTACTATCACTCCTTCTGGATTACCAGCCCCTTTAAGACTTGTCTTGGGTGTCTCGTTTCCTGGAGGCCTCCTGCATCTCCACCCTTAGTCCTGGCAGCCTCAGTCTTGGTGCCCATGAAACTGTTGGGTCATTGGTCAGTCTCCTGACAGTTCCATTGGCCTGTCTGCTTCTTCTTTTTTTTTTTTTAAGACAGAGAGAGAGAGCTAATTCTTTAATATTTATTTTTTAGTTTTTGGTGGACACAACATCTTTATGTTATTTTTATGTGGTGCTGAGGATCGAACCCAGCGCCCCGCGCATGCCAGGCAAGCGTGCTACCGCTTGAGCTACATCCCCAGCCCCCCTGTCTGCTTCTTGATGCTTGGAACAGGGTCATCCTCAGAGCTGATAGAGCTCTTAGAGAAGCTTATAACCATGAGCTTATTCAAACACATTTCTAGAACAAATAATCCCTCAAACCCAGCAACAGTGTCCAGGCTTCTCCCTCCTTGGCAGCTTTGCACATAGTGACCTCTCTACACACCCTCAAGTCCTCAGGCAACATTCTTGGACCCTATCTATGGGTCATATCCCATTGACTGCCCACTACTCCAGGCCCAGGTTAGACTTCATAGGGCAATGAAGGCCAGACATCAGCCCTTCCCAGCCATAGGTCTTTGTGGGCCATAATACAGAGGAATGAAACAGGCGGAGCCAAAGGACAAGTGTAGGACCCATCTAGTTTTTACTGCTGATGTGCATAGAAACAGGAAGCTTCTCTAGCAGTTAGCAACTCAAAACTTCCCTTCCAAACTAAACCATCCCTGAATATCTTCACTTTTGAGTGCCACTTGAGGCTATGCTTGCTTTCTGGATGTCTATAAAGGGGATATGGCACCTAGTGGAGCCCTTCATCTGCTCCAGCTATACCTGCTAGTATGACTACACAGTACAAACTTATAAGCTGTTCTGCCTGGGTTGGTTAGCTCTCCAGACATACAAAGCTAAGCTCATTTAGTGCCAGGCACTGAAGTAGGCACTTCTCATGCATGCTATGCTGGGGACTTTCTCACCAGCATAATCTCAGAATGAACAGAGACTCATTGCCAGAGAGAATATTGACGTTTTCTAGACTTTTCTCCCAGTACGACAAAGGCTTTCTTCTTACTAAATACTGCAGTTTTTGAAGATCTTTCAAGAAGGAGGCTAGAAATCCAAGTCTCACTCCCAGCTCTGTCCCAGCAGTTCTTACTCTCAGCATGTACTTGGGAAGTCATCCCCCTGTGAGATGACATGGTGGCCCTCTTGCCCTGTCCTGTTTCCCACACAGCTCCCACCAAATGTTACCCTCTTTTGTTGGCCAACCAACTAGTCTACCTGTCTGTGTCTTCCCCCTATTTCACAGCCCAGGGCTGCAGAGCCCCTGAACATCTCACTTGTCTTGTGAACACAGTCTGAGTAAGCATGCTTTCACCTGAAAAGATGTGTGTTTGCTTTCCTCCATCTAGGTGAGCTCTGACCCCTCCATGTACATTGAGGTGGAAAATGAAGTAACGGCCGTGGGGGGTGTAAAACTGAGCCGACTGAAGTGCAACCGGGAAGGAAAGGAGTGGGAGACAGTGCTCACTAGCCGGATCCTCACTGCTGCCGGCAGCTGGTAAGAGCAGGCAGGAACCTGTCTTGTCATGTAGAGTAGACATCATGAGCTGTGTTGGGTGGCACTTTTACTGTCCTGGAATTTAGCCTGTCTGAGGGAGGACTGCTTCCACTGAGGCTCACATTGGGCCTTAGTTCAGGCCAGTCATGGGCATTTCTCATATCAGTCCCTACCTCATCAATGAAATCATTATGATTATTCCAATGTTATAGATGGGGAACCTGAGTCTTGAGAATCACCCAGGCCAGGCCCTGAATCTGGTGGTCTTATTTCTTTGTCTGGCTAGATTCTCAAAAGTCTCAAGTTCCAGGCTGAAGTCTGCCTGGCTCTTGCTGACCTCAGTGGTTTCCTTCCCTAGACCCAGATTTTCATACAAGTTAGGACAGGATTTTATGACTACCTCCTAAGTCCCCAACCCTGTCCTCCCCAGATTCTTCACTTTGGGGAGAGATCTTAATTCAATGATTAATTACAGTGTCTTCCCATGGGCTCCTGGCAATGAGTATGAGCTCTGTCTTTCCTGTGCTCCATCTGAAAAGAGGACTGATGTTTTCTTCAGGTGTCTGCCAGGCATAGGGCCCTAGTTAGGTAGAAACCCTTACAAGGACTTTCTAACGATGACCACTCAGATGCAGTCATTTCAATTAGATCCTTAGTTTTCTATTATAAGGTCATATGTAAATGCTTTCACACAGGTCTGCAAACACTGGCCTTAGGTCTTAGGTCAGGACTCCCATAGGCCCTGAGTGATTTTTATGGTGTCAAACCTAGAAGAGCCCCGCCATTGTGTTTCTCACTGAAATTATCTTTCAGGAAAAGCACGTAGAGCTCCTAATCCCAACTACCTATTTTTTGGATGCTACAAGAGCTTCCACTCTCCATCCCCGATCCCAAGGCAGATGGCATGCCTCAGTTGAAGGCCTGCCTCAATTGAAGACCAAGGATATTAGCACAATCATCCCCATAGCAACACAGCAGCTATTGAGGGGGTCCTGCTAGGTAACTGAGGGCTTCTTCTCCTATATAATCCCACCTACTCAGGCCCAGCCTACAGACCTGCTCCCTAGTGCTACAGCCTAGAGCAATAGCTTCCTGAGCCAGGATTCAGATTTCTCCTTCCTTTACAGGGCTCAAGGAAGGCCCTGACCATCAAAATGAGCAGATAAAATTCAGTCACAGCAACACAGAGAACTCCCTGCTTCCAGGTCCTACTGGAAGTTTTCTCAAGATTCGTACTTTCAAAGTAGACATTTTGTAAACAAAAGATCCTCAACTTGCTTCTCCCTTTTCAGAGACCAGTAACATGTCACATTAGGAATAAGTTGGCAGAGCTCTTTTCTTAGCCAACCTTCTTACTCTCGGCCTACTGGGACAACAGGCACTGTAGACCATAGGCCCTGGCTCAACAGGATAAAAGTCCTAGAGGGGACTTAGGATGGTCTGCTTTGGTCAGGGCCTTGCTGGCTACATACCTGCCCTTGCTTCTTGGAGTCTGAGTTCTAGCCTCTTGCACCTATGACTGAGCCTCAGCGGTCCCTTGCTGAAATGGCAGAAGCCTACTTGTGCTGGGCTTACCTAAGGAGTCTGGTAGTCACTCAAGGGAGGCATTGGACAGTGAGTGGAATGGAAACATCTTCTCTGAAGCATTTCTTGCTCAAAGTGACGCGCCTCTCCAAGCTCAACCATAACAGCCCTTTGAGTATACTGCTGGCATCACTTGTGGCGACTTGTACCAGTTCCCCACACTCTCCCAGCCTGCCTCAGCAGAGACCTGGTTTGGACTTCTCTGGCTGTTGATACCCAGGAGACTGTCACATGGACTTTCTGTGGCCTCCTCATCTGATGAGTGAGGCATGCTTCCTGGTGACCATCATGTACGGCTGTGGTACTCCAAAGCCCTTGCACTCCTTGTTAGCTCAGAAAAGTATGAATAGCCATATGGGCAGGAGTAGAACAGAAGTCTCTCTTAGGAAATCTCAGGTAGGCTCTGCCTTGCTGTCCCCACCCCAACCTAGTCCTTGCACAACTTCTTCTGGCCTCTCCCTCTGGCTTCATCTACTCAGCAGAATGCTATGTCAGAAGCAGGCAGAGGGAATGCTCTGCATCAACCTGGTTGTTGCCTCTGCTGCAGCACCTGGTCCCTGTGACATCTGCCCCTCCTCTGCCTTCACAGTGATGTGGTGTGTGTCGCCTGTGAAAAGAGGACGCTGTCGGTGTTCTCCACCTGTGGTCGCCGCCTCCTCCCTCCCATCCTCCTGCCGTCCCCGATCTCTACTTTGCACTGCACAGGTTCCTATGTCATGGCGCTCACTGCTGCAGCTACACTGTCTGTCTGGTGAGAGGCAGGCACAGGGTGGGGTGGTTTTCATGCAAGACAGTGCTATGCATTTCCCACCTCACTGCAGGGGTAGGGAACACAGCAGAAAAGGCAGACATTGGGCTCAGGAGGAAGCCCTGAGAAGTCAGCAACACTGCTTGTGTTGGCTGCCCCTGTGGCTTAAGGATTAAGGAGGCAATGCAAAGGGAAATGAGTCAGCCAACCTGCTCTGCTGACATCCTTACAGGAACAAACTGCATGACAAATTACACTGCCTAATGGCATGTGCCAGGGTCCTTAGGTGGATTCATCAGCAGTGGGATCCAGATGGCAAAGGTGGCCACACTCCTGATATGACTTCTGTAGCTGGCTTCTCCTAGAATGGGTGTGGGCATTGGAGACAGCTGCCTGGGACCTCTGGATGGAGGGCTGTGGGTTTGTGTGTAGGGACCAGGGTACCTGAGTGGCTGAGACACACTTTGATGTGTTTATCTCAGGTGGAGAGTAAGTTGTTCCCTGTCTCCCTCTTAGGGATGTTCACAGGCAGGTGGTTGTGGTGAAAGAAGAGTCTCTACACTCCATCTTGGCAGGTAACCCCTGCGGACCCCTCCTCCCTTGGGGACTGAGACCTAGATCTGATGCACATGGGCCACTTCAGCCTAGATAGAAAGCCAGGCTCAGGATCCAGCCCAAGTGAGACAGGATACACTTACATAGCAAGGAGACAGGTTTTCTGGGCAAAAGATTCAATGGGTTCCTGAGAGATAAGAAAGATCTTGTTGAATATTAGTGAAAATGGCTCACACAGAGCACTGTAAGTAGCCTTCCCTCTTTTCCAAGTCATCATTAAAGACCTTATTGCTGGGATCATGGGAGCCAGGGTTCAGATTTCTCCTTAGATGCAAACACTTGCTGATCAGAACACACCAGAACTTATTCCTGTGGTGTCCCCCAGGAAGTGATATGACAGTGTCACAGATCTTGCTGACGCAGCATGGAATCCCAGTGATGAACCTATCTGATGGGAAAGCATACTGCTTTAATCCGTCACTCTCTACGTGGTAAGAAACTCCATCCCCACCCTGCCCCTGCTTCGTGGGATTGTCTATACTGGACAGCTGAGCAAAGGCTTCAGGTCTTGGGAGTCAGGCTCTGAACTCTGAATGGCAGCTAGTATATACTCTACCATCACTGTGGGCTGCTGCTGGCCTATGGCCTCTGCCCTCAGAGCCTGTACACAGGAACATGGCCTGCTGCATTATTTTCTGGGGCTGGTTTTTGGGATGTGTGTGTGTGTGTGTGTGTGTGTGTGTTTGTTTGTTTCTTTGCAATATTGAATATTTAACCCAGGGCCTCATTCATGCTAGATTAGCCCTAACACTGAGCTACATCCCCATCCCTTGAGCCCGTTTTATTAGAATAGGTATTTGGAAATTTTTATGATTCTTGACAGATATTTTTCAGACTGGCCTCTTTAACCAACACCAGCATAGGAGAGTTGGCTTCATAGTAGCCTTGCCAATGTTAGTCAATGTTGTGAACTTAGTAGGAGCAAAGTAGCCCCTCAGTAATTAGTAATGGTGGAAACAAACTCATCCATATGGATGATTTTTTTTTCCTTTGTTCAGTTTTGAATTTAGAGCCCCCTTTTTAAAGTTTGCTATCTTCTAGCCCATTTTCTGTTAAAACTTGCCAAATACTTTATTATTCAGTTAAAAAACAAAAACAAAAAACTCTGTCACCTACCCTCTCAAATTGCAAAAAGCTTGTGAGTATGTGTGATTACCATAATAATGGAAATGAGCTGATTATTAAAAAAAGACATGTCGACTTTTTATAGTCATCCTTGTATTTTGTACACATTTACAAAGACAACTAGCTGTTTTTAAAATGTGTGGAAAGCTGATTACAATAATGCATGCCCATAGTGCCAGCTACTCTGAAGGCTAAGGCAAGAGGATCCCAAGTTCAAGTCTAATGTAGGCAACAGAGCAAGATCCCATCTCAAAAAAAAGTATCTGGAGTATGTTTTCTTAACAGAATAGTCCTGAGGAGGTAGAAGAACTGCCTTCCTGGGGATGCTGGAGAGGCATAGAAATGCCAGAGACTGGCTTTCCCTGGAGTTGTAACAGACCCAGGCCACACAGGCCCTGGGTAGGCCACAGCATTGTGTAAGCCAGGCATCCAAAACATACTTCACACACAGTAACACCTTAGTCATCAGGAAGTGAGACTGAAGCTAAAATATTCATAGTGAGAACCCTATCAGTAACCTTTCCTTGAAAATATAATTTATTAGGCTCTTAACTAGGAAACCTCCCAGTTAATTGGCTTCTTGTACTGAAGTGCAATAACTGTCAGCCTCTGTTCGTGTGCTGCCAGTGTGGTGGATGGGGCTTAGTTCTTTTTGGGGGGTTGGGAGGTGGTACTGGGGATTGAACTTGGGGGAACTTGACTACTGAGCCACATCCCCAGCCCTGTTTTTTGCAGTTTATTTAGAGACAGAATCTACACTGAGTTGTTTAGTGCCTCCATTTTTGCTGAGGCTGGCTTTGAATTTGAGATCCTCCTGTCTCAGCCTCCCAAGCCACTGGGATTACGGGCATGCGCCACTGTGCCCAGAGGGGCTTACTTCTTTCTGGCTTTTTTTTTTTTTTTTAATATTTATTTTTTAATTGTAGTTGGACACAATACCTTTATTTTATTTATTTTTATGTGGTGCTGAGGATTGAACCCAGGGCCTCGCATGTGCTAAGCGAGCACTCTACCACTGAGCCACAACCCCAGCCCCTGTGGCTTTTTTGACAGCCTCTTCTGGTGGGGCTCCTAATTTTTCTGACCTTTGATCCTGTCTTTGATTCTTCAGGAACCTGGTTTCTGACAAGCAAGACTCACTGGCCCAATGTGCAGACTTTAGGAGCAGCCTGCCATCCCAGGATGCCATGTTGTGCTCAGGACCGTTAGCCATAATCCAGGGCCGCACCTCCAAGTATGTGAGCTGAGAACTTTGGCCACTATCAACAGGGCTGCCCTGGGAGGAAACCAGGCCTAGTCTCTGTTTGTCTGTCTTTGTGCCCCAGTTGCTGCTCAACACAGAAATCAGGGGTGGGGGAGTGGGGGGGTCTCTAAGGGTGTGGATCCACATCAAATAATACTTCATGGTTGGCTGGAATATAGGCCCTGTCACTTCAGGGGTCCAGATTATAGTCTGAGGATGCTAAATGTCATAAATACCTATATGGGGCAGGATTTTGGGTGGGTGGGTGGAGAATCGACCACTGGTGTATCATCCCAGAGACCTAGATGGTAGGTGCACTGTAGAATATTCTTGGAGTACTAAGAAGCCCAAAGCTGGGATGTGATGATGGGCAGGTCAACAAAAGTCTCTGGCATCTGCCAATAAACTGGTTGATAGATGGGAGGACTTCTACAACCAGATGTCTACCACCCCTGCGAGCTCTGTCCTGGTACCCTAGAGCATGTGGGAGCATTCCTGAACATTGCCCTCTGCTTCATATTGCCTGCTTTGTTGGTCTCTACAGCTCTGGAAGGCAAGCTGCCCGGCTTTTCTCCGTGCCTCATGTGGTACAGCAGGAGACCACGCTGGCCTACCTAGAGAACCAGGTTGCAGCAGCACTCACCCTACAGTCCAGCCATGAGTACCGCCATTGGCTCCTTCTTTATGCACGGTACCTCGTGAATGAAGGTGAGGTCCTGTGACCCAAGTGGCCTTATCCATTTGCTCCTCTATTTTCTAAGGCCTAGCTTAGTCCCTGGGAATCAAGGAAGAGATGTAGTGGCCTAGAGCTCTCTGAACTCCTTTGCATTCCTTATAGGTCCCCATGGTTGTCCCCAAAGGCCCTGGCCTCCCTGATAGCAAGCGGGACCACACCTCCCACCTCCCAGCCTGAGCTATAATCAGGGCAGCTCGTAGGCATTCAGCCCTGTCATGAGCTCCAGGCCCTGAATAGAGTAGGCTTGAGGATGTTCTTCAGAGGAACAAGACAGGAAGGTTGGCAGTGGGAAAGGAGGATGGAAACATGCATGGAAAGACCTGCCTTATAGGAGCAGACTAGATGTTTTGGCTCCTGTCTGCCACCAAGGCCTGTCACTCAAGGCAAAGGCATCTTCTGGCAGCATTTCTTTTCCTTCTCTGAGTCCCTCCTGCTCTGGACAGCCTATCTGCTGCCCAGCAATTCCAAATGCCCTTCTAGCCAAGATCCTCCAGCCTGATCCTGCTAAGGCTATCAGAGCACCTATGACCTCTTGGTGGCATACCCTACAGAAAGCAAAGTGTGCTGGAAGAGAGGCTTTACTGTCTTCAAAGTAACCTCTAACAGCCTTTCATCTCTCATTGAGCAAGCATCTGGTCCTGACTTACCAATTCTTCTTCCCTCAAGCATAGCCTCCAAGGATTGTGGCATAGGACTGGCCCTCCCAAAGCTCTCCCTGTGTTCTTACACAGTCCCAGCCCCTTCCAGAACTTCTTCCATATCTTTACCTTGGTTCTTTTGCTTTGTTCTTGTCATCACTTTCCCATTTTGATTATGATTTAAAGAAAAATATTAAGTAAAAAAAAAATGTACAAAACACCTGCAAATATACTCTCAGAATTTATATGTTTTCCTCCTACTTTGTAAATATAAGAGTGTGTGTTTATATACACTTGTAATGACAACAAACATTACTGATCCCTAACTCCTTTCCCAGCAACTCCAGTGATAAGTTTGATGTTTACTCTTCCCACTCAGTCCATGTGGCTGGCTGGTATGTACCAGCTCTCCTAAATACTCACCTTCCTTAGTTCTGATACCTGGGGTACTCAAGTTACATCTTGAACCTCATGCCCCATCTTTCCCAAAACCCCCACTCCTTGCCTTCTTCTTTGGTTTACCTTATCCTAGGTATTTAGCAGTACTCACTCTGAGTTCCACATAAAGACTTCTTCCTCTAAGCTCTACCACCTGTTTGTAGGGTCACTTCTACTGTTTATATTTATTTCTCCATCTTCTATACATTTGTTTTTCCCTAGATAATATACCAGGACCCCTTCCCTCATTTCTGTCCCTTGTTTTCTCAAGTAGAAGAGCAGGAATCAAGTGTTAGAAGGAGACCCCATTCACTTTCCAAATTCCTCAGGGTTCATTCCTCCTTTTCTGTACCCTTTGATTCCATCTGTTTCCTAGGCATGCCCCCAAATGCTGCCTAAGTCCTCAGACTCTGCTTTCATAGCCTTTCTGGCAGTTGCACCCACTACAGCAGTGCTTCTGACTATCAGTCACCACTCTGCAGTTGGGCCCTCACAGTCTGCTTCCTTCTCATCTCCTCTCACAGCAGCTGCTGACATGTCTTCTCTCAAACAGATCCCACCAGCCCACACCCTTCCTTCCACAGTTTCCCATATTTTCCACCACTGTGGGGAGTTCATCATCACAAAACTGGCCATGTCTGGTTTTCCTGTGGGCCCAGCACACAGTGAAGGTTCTGTATACATAGTTAGGGATACAGGTGAATGAATGAAAATCTGTGATTGTGGCCCTCAATGCCCTAAACTGAGAAACACAAGCATTTGCCCATAGTAGGCAATAAAATAAGTGTTCATTCTGTTGTTGTGATATACACAGCAATTTAGCATTTTCAAATTTTTATTTCTTTTTATAATGTGTTCCTATTTCTGTTTTTTGTTTGTTTGTTTTTGTTTTTGTTGTTCTATTTTTCTATAATTAGGGTTTGAATACCGACTTCGAGAAATATGCAAGGACTTACTGGGTCCGGTTCACTGCTCCACTGGAAGCCAGTGGGAGTCAACAGTAGTGGTAGGTGCTTCTTTAATTCTTGCCTCAAGAATTCTCTTGAAACATGAAGGTGAAGGTTTTAAAAATAAGATAAAGTGCTTGAAGTTCCTCCCTGTGACACTTCTCTAGCACCCTACCCTGGGCCCTGGCATCAATGAGAGGCTAACATGCTGGCACTCCACAACCAGGCAGAAGTTGGGCTCTGGGCATCAGGAGCCTGGAGAGCTCTGTTCCACATTCATGCTGAGGAAAGCTGCAGGTAGAATGCTCTGGGTTTGGTACGAAAGATACTTACCTCCATTCCCTTTTGTGAGCCTCACAGTCCAGTGAACAAGGTACTTTGATACTATAGGTTAGTGTGAAGAACAAAATAAGCAGAGTAATGAGATAGGAGTGGCCAGGAATGATTAGCAGGGAATAGCTTGGAAGATGACATTTCAGATGAAACCTAAGAATGAGAGGGTGCCAGCTGCAGAGATCTGGGAGAACATTTTCTGATGGAGATAATAGTGAAGGCAAAGAGGGCTTGGCACATTTTTAAGCCACATTTTAGTGGGCAATAAGAGAGGTAAGATAGGAGAAACATGCAGGAGATAGATGACAGAGACTTCTTGAGGAACTGGAATATTCTAGGACTACCAGAGTTGGTATAGAAAAACAGTCAGTGTGTCTTTTATACCAGTACCAGAAATAGATGAAGGTGACTTGGATCAGTGTAGTGGCCATGGAGTGAGCAAGAAAATAGATTCATTATGTATTTAGCAATCAGAACCACCAAGATTTGGTCATTGAATGAATGTGGAAGGAAAGAGAATTATGAACATGTTGCCTCCAAATTTTTCGACTAGCAAAGATAGATGCTAGTGTTATTGAGTGAATCAGGAAAGGAGCAAATTGGCAAGGGATGGGAGAAAGTATGGATCTAAGAGGTAGCTCACAGCTTTATTCAATCATTCAGCAAATTACTGATGGAGTATCCAATCTGGCCAGGCATGTTCTAGGCATGGGGCAACTCAGTAAAACAAGGTTTACTGAGTCCCCAACTTCGTGGATCTAAATTCTTGTGGAGAGAAACAGACAAAAATAAACAGAAAATATATAATATCTTGGGTGGTGTTGGATTCTATGGAAAAAAGTAAAGAAGGCAGGGGGATATGTAGTGTTGGTGGGATGTTATTTCATGTTGTGTGACCAAAAACACCTTGACTGAGTAGAGACCAGAAAAGAGGAGGAATGAAACCATGCATATATTTCAGGGGAAGAACATTCCCCCAGAGGAAAAAGCAAGTAAGTGCAAAGGGTCCAGGATGGGAGAACTTAGAATATAAAAAGAGCCAGGTGTAAGTAGCTACAATCTCAGTGATTCAGGAGGCTGAAACAACAAGAATCCAAGTTTGAGATCAGCCTCAACAGCTTAGCAAGGCCCTAACAACTTAGTGAGACCCTGTCTCAACATAAAGACAGAAAGGGCTAGGGATGTAGCTCAGTAGAAAAGTGTCTCTGGGTTCAATCCCCAGTAATAAAAGATAGAAAAAGAAAAACAGTTGAGCTGAGTGGCAATAAAAGGGTTAAAGAAGCCAAGGTGAGAAAGTTTGGAAGGTCATTCCTCATAAGACATTAAAAGTTTTGGCATATACAGTGGCCTCCTCTGTTTTTTATTCTATTTTTTAGTTTTATTACAGTATTTTCAGTTGGCTAATGCTGGATTCAGAATCAATTCCCTTTAGATCATTGAACATATTCTTCCATAGACTTTCAGCATCCTGAGTTGTTGCTTAAAAGTCTGATGTAAATCTGATTTCCATTGCTTTATAAGTACTTTTGAGATCCTGGGTTGGTGTTTTGAAGATTCCAGAGCTCCACATCTTTGTCTTTTATTCATTCTCTGGATAGACTTGTGACATCCTTTAGTTCTCTTCTTTGATTATATCCTCTCTTTCATTTTTCCATCATCTGAGAGAGATGTCCTTTTTTTTTAAATCTGCCTTCTCATTTTTAAGATTTCCAATTTGCTGCTGAATTCTTAATTTAGTCTTTATTTACTTGAGCATAGTAAACTTAGTTCAAAGTTTTTATGTCTGATAGTTTTAGTATTAGGAGCCCTAATGGATATTTCTGTTGCCTATAAATGTTTCTTCTGTTTCTCATTCCTATATGTTCTTAATTATTTTTGACTGCTGGATATGGTATTTTAAAAACTATTTGCAGAAAGAGTTTGAGCCTAAGGTGATGTTATTTTCTTCCACAAACCACTTTTATTTGCCACTACCACAGAATGCTTGAACTCGTTCAGGATCAAGGTCTTCTGAGTTGCCCATAACTCAAAAGTAGGCAATAGTTGTCACAGAAGTGGTTTGCTTCCAATTTGCACTAGGGAGCATGACTTTGGGGTAACAGCACACAGGAGGTGTGGATAACAAGGATCCCTCTTCTTAAGCCCTAGACCTGGCTTTAGTCTCCCAAGGCCTTCAAGTCTGGTAGAATTTACTTGCCAGCTATAAGCAATATAACTTCCTGAGACTTTGTCCAGGAGAACCTTTGACCTTCACCTCCCAGAGTCACCCATCAACGTGGTCTCACCTGCTTTCTGCAATCTATAAACCTCCTAAAATCACTGGCTGCATGTGGTCCCCTGTGACTTGTGACAGAGGCAGATGTTTTCAGCTCTAGGTAGATAACAGTCACTGAAATAGACTTTTTCTCCCCTCCAAAACAAATTATTATTCTAACCTTTTCTTCATGGTCACAAAGTAGTTCTCATGTCTGAATTCAAGGAAGGAGAATAGGAGGATGTCAGTACCAACAATATCCACTCTTCTCATCAGGAAAACAAAAAAATCTCCCAGAAACTAGATTGTCCTCATGGGCAATCATTAAATCACTTAGGCTCTCCTATTACAAGACAAGCTCAGAAAGTAAACGCTTTTCTGCCTGTATAAAAAAGATTATGTAATTTATTCTAATTAGGATCCTATTCTTGTGGTTGTACATGATATGGAGTTACCCTGATTGTATATATTCAAATAAAGGCTAGGAAAGTTATGTCCAATTAATTCTTCTTCTTTTTTTTTTTTTTTTTTTTTTTTTGAGAGAGAGAGAATGAGAATGAATATCTTTTTTGTAGATGGACACAACACAATGCCTTTATTTTTATGTGGTGCTGAGAATCCAACCCGGGTCGCGCCCATGCTAGGCAAGCACTCTACGGCTGAGCCACAATCCCAGCCCCATGTCCAATTAATTCTACTATTCTTTCCCATTCCCCTCCCCACTCCCTTCCCTTTATTCCCTTTTGTCTAATCCATTAGACTTTTATTCTTCCCTTCCCTACCCCTTGTTGTGGGTTAGTATCCACATATCAGAGAGAACATTCTACCTTTGTTTTGGGGGGACTGGCTTATTCACTGAGCATGATATTCTCCAGTTCCATCCATTTACCAACAAATGTCATAATTTCTCTCTTTATAGCTGAGTAATATTCCAGTGTGTATATATACCACATTTTCTTTATCCATTCATCTGTTGAAGGACATCTAGGTTGCTCTTGAGTATAGACCCAGGAGTGTGATAACTGGATCAAATGGTGGTTCCATTCAAAGTTTTTTAAGGAACCTCTATACTGCTTTTCAGAGTTGTTACACCAATTTGCAGTCCCACCAGCATTGTATGAGAGTACCTTTCTCCCCACATCCTCACCAACATTTATTGTTACTTGTATTCTTTTTTTTTTTTAAAAGAGAGAATTTTTTAATATTTATTTTTTAGTTTTTGGAGGACACAACATCTTCATTTTATTTTTATGTGGTGCTGAAGATTGAACCCAGCGCCCCACACTTGCCAGGTGAGTGCACTACCACTTGAGCCACATCCCCAGCCCCACTTGTATTCTTTATAATTGCTGTTCTGACTGGAGTGAGATGGATTCTCAGTGCAGTTTTAATTTGCACTTCTCTAATTGCTAGAGATGTTGAACATGTTTTCATATATTTTTTGACCATTCATATTTCTTCTTCTGATTAGCCCATTTATTGATTGGGTTGTTTGGGGTTTTTTGGTGCTAAAGTTTTTTGTGTTCTTTGTGTAATCTGGTGATTAATGCTCTCCATGTATGTATAATATGCCAAAATACATTCTCTATCATGCATATGTAAAAAGAACAAATTAAAAAAATACACTACTGCCAGGTGCAGTGGCACATGCCTATAATCCCAGCAGCTTGGGAGGCTGAGGCAGGAGGATTGCAAGTTCAAAGCCAGCCTCAGCAAATGTGAGATGATAAGCAACTCAGTGAGACACTATCATTAAATAAAATATAAAATTGGGCTGGAGATATGGTTCAGTAATCGAGTGCCCCTGATACCAAAAAAAAAAAACAAACTACTGCTTGCATAATATTGTATATAATTTATTCAAAAAATATATTTTAATATCAAGTGTGGTTAATATTGTTCAACTTACAAATGCACACTTTATTGAAGGAGATTTTGTAGCATATCTATATTTTCTACATTTAATGTTGATGTAGAATTTATTTCTTCTGTGATTCCTATTTACAGAATTGATTTTCATACCAAGCAAATGTCTGTTCCCATAAAGCCACTTTAAAATCACTTGGGGGCTGGGGTTGTGATTCAGTTGTAGAGTGCTTGCCTAACATATATAAGGCATTGGGTTTGATTCTCAGCACCACATATAAATAAATTAAATTAAGGCTCATTGACAACTAAAAAAATAAAATAAAATCACTTTTTGTTGACTGTTGAAAACAGTATGTTTTTAATTCCTTATAAAATTATATACTAAAAAATATTATGTATAAGAGGTCTACATGACCTCTTGTTATAGCTGTGGACATAGCCAACTCCCAATATCTGCCACATTCCTCCTCACTGCAGCATGATTCCGAATTTATTCTTTTTTAAAAATTTTTTTTATCCTCTGGTTGTTTTATCATCTAGATTTTGGGGGTAGAGAAGGTGAGCATGAGCCCAATGCTTTCTTGAGTTTCCTTGTAAACCTTA